AAGGCCCGTTTACATACAACTTTGGCGTTGCGTTGGCGTTGGCGTCGCTTCGACAGCTGACTATGAATACATGTATTTATATGAAAGTCTCCATATAACCAAAGTTGGGCAACGCCAACGCCAACACAACGCAGAAAGATGGCCAACTCTCAACTTTTCGCGCGCGTCGTTCGTCAGCTGTTCTAAATAATCAAAATTATGTGATTTAATTTTAATTTTTAATCAAATGCGGGCAAGAAATATAGTTTTTAATGCAATTATTGATGTAAAAATTTTGATTTATCAGCCGCTAGTATGTTAATTTAGTGACCAAAGTATTCTGTGCTAAGCGTTCATTGTAGCAAGCACGGGCGTTACGCGCGCCGCTGTCAAAGCGACGCCAGCGCAAACGCAACGCCAAAGTTGTATGTGGACGGGCCTTAATGCGCATGGTAATTGGGTCTGAATTGCCAACAAATGAGGTAATACGCTCTCAAAATTTAGTATCGTAATTCGAAGGGAAATTGGAGTGCGAATGAAGAATGAGAGAGCAAACTACGTAATTGGGGTGCCGTGAGAAAGCCGTATTACACTGTTCAACTTTCACAGGCGGTTAGTTGAATCACAAGTTTACATCATTTAACTGAATGTTGAATAATCTAATACCCTTTTAAATACGATGAGTGCGTACGATTAGGAAATAATAATATTCTGAACGAAATTTTTTGGAAATTAACCGGTTTTGACAATATTATAATCAAAAGAAAGGTTATCGATTTACCTTTCTTTTAATATATATAAACAGTTGCAAGTCATTTGTAATGGTGCACAAAAATTCAGTTTTGTTACAACTCTGCAAAATTTTACCACTTTTTCACTGCTTATATATAGCTGTTTACAAAAGTTGCAAAGTATTTTATGAAAACGTAAAGCGATTTTAACGGTGTTATAATCAAAAGAAAGGTAATCGGTTTACCTTTCTTTTGATATATATTAAGAGTTGCAAATCATTTATGGTGGTTCAGAAAAATTAAGTTTTCTTACAACTTTGCAAAATTTGACAAGTTGGACCTACACTTTTAAGGTGCTCCTGGCGTTGAAGGTGCTGAAGGCGGAAGGTACCCATGGTGCTCCTGGCGATGACGGAGCTGAGGGTAGAAGGTACTGGTGGTGTTCCTGGCGATGAAGAAGCTGAGGGCAGAAGGTTCGAATGGTGCTCCTGGCGATGAAGATGCAAGCGTTGGAGGTGCTGATGGTGAATCCCAAATCTGTAAACAAACAAAAATATCAATTAAAATTTATAAACATATAAAAGTCTCAATACATACCTTAAGAATGTGACTAAGTCGCTGCTGTTTTGCAATCTAAAAGAAGAAATTACATTATAATTAAATAAAATTGTTAAATACGTATTCTTACCTTCAAAATTTTAGCAAAGTGACATTTCTTCACAGTATGTATACTGTCATCAAAACTCCGATGTTTCTAACTTGCTCGCTCTAACGCATAGAATTCTTATTAGAGTACGAATTCTTATCGGGTATGTAGCTCTAACAAATGACAGATCGAACAAAAAATGTGTAAGTTTCAACAAAGTTGGTCGCCAGCCAACTTTGAGCTCGTTCAACTTTTTTCCCTTGCAACCCTGTGTTTGTTTACATTCTGAATCAGTGTTGGGATATGAAATTGTTCCTTCACTACGAAATCTATACAAAAAATGTAATTCTCGGCTATAAATTGTATACACTTTTTGATTCGCTCATATATTTTCTTAGTACATTCCCTTCAAGACCAATGATTTTATGGTATTCATGAGAAAGTTTTATTGTTTATGTACATACGTTTACGTATTTTACACTTTTACAAATTGATTCCACGTGCACATGTATTGCATTTAACGCAAATATGTATGCACACATTTTCAGATATACATCTTCACAAAAAGCATATTTAAGTTATTATTAATGGATAAAAGAGACATTTTCTTTGGATTCAGTACTAAAATTTGACATTTTAATAGAATTTCAAGTGCTTATCAAAACTTTACGAGAATATTTGACCATTTATCTTAATATTAGTCAATTTTAATTATTTTTTGTAAAAATACGCTTTATATTTTAAGAAAAGCCGTACAAATCCAAGGTTCAAACTTTGTGCAACATTAAAAAAACCAACACACTTTCGTAAAAATGTCGATCTATTTAATTCGATTTCCTAGATTTATTTTGAGTGTGTGGTTTTTTAGCCCATTAAATTTTAATATAACTAAGTTTTTTAAGATTTCTTTGATGAAGGTGTTGCTAATTTCCTCCAAATAAAAAAATCGTCGAACACACTTCTTATGGAAGAAAATGGCTGACATCGTCGACAAAACCAAATTGCCAAGTTCAACGGTAAGTGCCTGCTACTTTAAACTTGCAATTTATTATACTAAAATTGAATGGGCTAAAAACTGAAGAATATTAATAAAGCTCGAAATTTTTAAGACAGTATGTTCGTTTTTGGATGTTTCGCAAAGATTTAATCTTGGGTTTATACAGTTTTTCTTAAAGAATTCATTATATTTTATAAACAGATAATTAAAATTAAAGAATAATAAACTAAATAGTAAAACCTTGTCAATATGTGAGTGCCGTAAAGGTATTATATTTAAGAAAATCTCTTCTTATAACTAACGAAGACTTTGTTTCTATATGAAGCTGACTTTGACATTTTGTTTTAATAAAACTTAGTATCGAAAAGTTTCTTTAAAAATTTGGCTAGGCTATGTTATACTGGTTCGTTCAAGCCATTTTTCAAAACTTACAAAGGTAAATACGAACAGGCGAACTGTGAATTTTCAGAGCTATATATTTTTAGTATTCATTACAAAATTTTACTAAAAAGTACTGCGTGTAGGAAAGTATATTGTAAATGAAATTGTATCAAACAAGTGCCAACACTGTTCTGTATACATACTTTTTTTTCTTTTTTACTTTTTTACTCTTATTTTATCTTTCAGCTTCGCTAAAAGCACTTCTACCAATGCTTGGCTTACCAAATTTACGCCAATTGATAAAATTTTGCGATTTAAATTCATTTTCAATAATGTAAATAACGATTCGTGTTGAATCCAAATTCGCCTCGTCTGAATAGGGATGGCAACTTTTTCACTTTCAACTTCTCATTCAACTACGTATTCAACTTTTGTTGCCTGTAAAATCGCCGCGTGCGAATGCCCTATTACAGACAAGCGATTTCTACTTTCTGTATTACATGACCGCACTTTTCGCGAAAACTTTAATAACGGGCGTCATTTGTTGAGTTGCCGTTGCAATGATAAAAGTAGTAGAAATTACTCTTTCGATACCAAGTCCTTTTTTCGATACTTACTCGATACCGAACAAAAAGGTAGCGAGTAAAAAAATACTGGTATCAAAAGAAAAGTATCGAGTATGTACTTGTATTTACTTGTATCGATTGAACCTTACCTGGAACGCAACTAAAATAACATTCAAAAAAATATGCTTAGACAAGAAAATTTAGCAGCAAATTTTTGCGGTTTGTTGTCTGCCCAAGGATTTAAGGGTACGCATAAACGTCGATTGTTCCATATTCAAAGTCTTGGTGTTAAATGCTTGGTTATATGCATAGTGGGTTATATGTACAATGGTATTTTGGTTTTAGCGGAAGGAATGGGATGTGTCACCTAATACCCTACCTATTAGAAAGAGCACAGTCCAAATTTTAAGAAAACCCCTCTCTAATCCTCTACACGCGCCTGGGACCCATTTGAAAATGTAAAAATACTATGTATTTTGATAAAATGTAAACTCCGGTTACACCACTCACGGTATTTTTTGTGTAGAGCGCCTTTCTGCGCTGTTGGAACAGCATACACATTTCTCAAAGTGATTTTGGGAAGTGTTGCTGTAGTGACAGTCCTTGGCCAGATATAAATCTGGATCGTTCCGATTACGTAGGCCCGACTGTTGTCGGGACGCTGCGTTGGCGGTCGTTGTTGTAACAGCATACAAACTCGCCAAAGAGGTTTTGGGTAGTGATGCTGTAGTGAAAGTTCTTGGTCAGATACAAATCTGGGTCGTTACGTCGTTGGTAACTTTGGAATGTGTATATCCGGCTAGGCCATCCACAGTATTTTTGCGCAGAACTCACTCGCAGGTAAAACAAATTCAAATTCAAAACGAATTTATTAATAAATTATTGCACGGAATTTTTTATTCCTTTGTCTACACGTGTAGGCTAAAATTTTTTGATTTGGGTCACTCGTTTGGACACATTAACCCTAAATCATTGTACAAATAAGCGAACAAAATTTGTAAAAGTTTACCACCCCTATGCTGTAATCCGAAAGTTCGTAGTTACGAATTCGTAGCTCCGTTCCGAAAATTCGAAAATTGGTATGCTGTAATCCGATCGTAACTATCAACGGCGTTACCAACTAAAATAGTGAAATTCGAAGTTCTTAATCAGCTGCTTTGACTGAAACAAATCAAAATAAATATAATCGCAAGTGAACAGTGAAATTAAAAAAAATTGTTTAATCGTATTTGAAAAAGCTTTTCCTTAATTAAGTAAAATAGAATGGATTCAGTGGCCGGTGCACTTTTGTCTCAGGAGGAAGAACATGCTGCAGTCAACTGTTGCATTAATATACAAAGGAGATTGCTACGAGACAGTTCTGATCCATTTACCTTAAATGATAAATATATGTTCCCTCTTTTTAAGGGCGTCCATTCAACTAAATATTGTGTTGCTTTAAATCTTGCAACGCTTTCCCAAAATTCCACCACATCCTCTTTAACTATTACAAAGCCTCGGGCAATGTCTGGCCTTTCGCTCATGCTTTCCACCAGTTTTTCGTATTGCGAGCGATTTGTTGTGATTGTCGACATGATAATTTTGTAAACATTTAATAATACATTGGTCTTTATTCACACTTCAACTTAAATGGATTCGATGGTAACACTGCAACGTTGTTGACGTGTTTGTAATCGCTCTGCGGAAAATTTTTAAAAAACAGCCGAATTGTTGTGATTTTAACCAGCGTTAGAGCCAGTGACTTAAATAGCGAAGTGCTAATAAACTGTGCTATTTTCAAGCACAAAAATTTGTTTCATTTTGATTAAACAAACAAATAAATATAGCTAGAGACATAAAAGTGCAGTGAGGTGACAAAAACAATAAGGCGCGAAAATGGATAAATGCCATAAGTGCAAGAATCCAATTCGCGGTGACAGCGGAATCCGCTGTGATGGTGTGTGTGGTAAAGTGTGGCACTGGGCAAAAAAATGCTCTGAATTGGATGAGTACAGTGCGAATGTACTCAAAGAAAACAACTTTGTGCGCTTTATGTGTAACCAATGTCACACATACATGCATAACATCGATGAGGTGCTCCGAAATATGAACTTAACAATAGAGAAAAATAGTCAAAAGATCCAAGAGTGTAATGATGACTTCCAGGAGTCGCAAAAAATGCAAGTGAAAGAGCTTAAACTTCTCTTGCAATCAATAGAGAAAAAATTTGGGGAACGCATTGATGCAATGCAAAGAGTACAAAAAACCTGTGAGGCGAGTATTCTCGAAGTGAACCAAATTAAGTCAATAGCTGACGGCGTAAAAAAGCAAAGCCATGATCTTTGCGAAGCCATAGTGCGCAATGAAAATGAGAACAAAAAAATTTGTGAAGAGATAAAGAAATCGGTGACTGCTGACGCGTTAGCAGGTCAGCGGGCGAAAGCCACTTACGCGGATCTCTTTAAAGGTAATACTGCGAAAGATAATAGGCCGCCGAAAGTAAATAAAGAGAAGCCATTAGTTCTACAACCAAAAGAGAAGCAGGAAGTGGGAAAAACAAAAGAAGATTTGAACAAAAATGTTGACCCCTCGGGCTTAAAAATTAATAGTGTACAGGGGAGGAAAAGTGGGGCTGTAGTAATACAAACAGAAAATGAGGCTGAGCGTGAAAAAATCAAAAAGGCAATAGAGAATAAAATGAGTGATAGATATGAAATAAAAATCCCAAACGTAGCCAAGCCAAGGTTCATGGTATATAGAATGAGCTTTAAACATGAGAATGAGCAGCTCAGGGAGATGATAAAAAAACAGAATGAATGCTTCAAAAATGGTAATTTCAAAATTTTGAAATGTTTTGAAACAAAAAGAGGAAATGCAAAACATTATAATGCGTTAGTAGAAACAGATGTAGATGCCTTTGCAGCCGTGCTGGCAAGCGAAAAAATAAACATAGGTTGGGAAAAATGTAGAGTCAAAGATGGAATGGATGTTACTTTCTGTTTCAAATGCAAGGGATTTAACCACATAGCTGCGAAATGTAAAGCCGATGAGGTATGTTTCAAGTGCCTAGATAACCACAAAACTGTGGAATGTTCTAAGGAAACATTAAACAAATGCATAAACTGCATTCGTGCTAATAAAAAATTTAACTTAGGGCTTGATGAAAATCATATGACATTTAACCGACAGTGTCCTGTATACCAGAAAAAGCTCGAGCATAAAAGAAATACTGTAAATTACTAACAATTACAGCAAGTTTGTGGGGACCCTAGCGTTGAGTTTACGTCTCACCCAGGTGTAAAGAAAGCGCTACCCAAATATTTGCAATGCGTATATCTCAATATACAGAGTTTAGTGGCTAATAAAGTTGAGCTAGAAATACTTATAGATTTTACCGACCCGGATCTACTTTTGTGTTCCGAAACATGCCTAACTGATGACATAGAGGATACGGAAATAATGTTCCCGGCGTATCAGATGATACGCTGCGACTCACACAGTAGACACACAGGGGGAGTGATAATACTCGTTCGAAACACGCTCGGTTTTAAAACAATAACTAACAAGGCTTTAGACAAAAATGTTTGGTGTATAGTTATTCAACTCACACACTGTGATACCAGGTGGCAGCTCGGGGTGGTTTATCACTCCCCAAGCTCAAGTGATGCGGAATTTGTTACATATATGGAGGATATCTTAGCAGAAATCTCAGAAAATTCTGTGAACACTGTTATCATTGGCGATTTTAACATAAACATGAACGTAGTATCAACCTACAGCAGAAAACTCAATGATGCTTTCTTGCAACAAGCCATGCAACAGCTAATAAATTTTAATACGAGGGTGACGGAACATTCGGAAACACGTATTGACTTGTTGTATTCCAATGATAACCGAGTTATATGTCAAAAGGTCGAGGATCATAGAATATCTGACCACGAAACAATAATGTTTCGACTAAATGTCAATAAACTCAACCCACTTGCTAAGGAGGCAGAAGTAATATCCTGGGAGAGATATAACCCTGAGAACTTAACAAGTTTACTAAGGCAGTGCGATTTCTCGAACTTAAATTTTTTCGATGCTGACGGTATGGTGGAGTATATTACTCATTGCATTATGTGGGCCATGAGGCAGTTGACTTACTCAAAAATAACTCGCATTAGGCAGAGGAACAAATGGTATGATAGGCAATTGACAGAGATGAACAAGTATAAATCTAAATCCCATGAGAAAGCAGTGTTGTCAGGGTACTGGGGTGAATATAATTTAGTGAGAAACAGATATAAGAAAATGGTAAGGTGTAAAAAAATTAAATACTTAGAGCATAAGGTGGAAATAAATAAGGGTGACAGCCGACTCATGTGGAAATACTTAAAGGAGGTAGTCAATAACACGGAGGTCAAAGAAAATATTGGGGAAGTGATAATAAATAACACCAACTACGTAGACAGCTTTGAAATTGCGGAAAACCTAAATAATTTTTTCGTGGACAGCATTTTGGAAATACATACCAATATAGAGTGTGTAAACTATGATTTTTTCGAGCAACGAGCTCCCACAAGTACGCTAAAATTTGAAGAGGTCTCAACGGAAGACATTCTTCAAATTGCCAAAAAATTTAAGCGGAAAATTGGGGGAAACAACCTACTTTCTGAAGGTGTTATTAAGGACTCTGCTGATTATATGGGATATTTCTATGCCCTACTTATAAATAAGAGTCTCCAAACAGGATCAGTACCGGAAGAATGGAAAATTTCATCAATAGTGCCCGTCAAGAAAGTTAGAAAAACGGTTAAAGCTGAGGAGCTTAGGCCCATCAATACTCTCCCTAGCTTGGAAAAAATGCTAGAAACCGTTGTGAAAAACCAGCTACAGTACTATGTGGAATCCAATAAAATACTCATAAAAGAACAATCTGGATTCAGAGCTAAACATTCCTGTGAGACTGCGCTGAATCTGGTGCTTTCTCAATGGAAAGAAGATCTGAACAGACACCTTAATGTGGTGGCAGTGTTTATTGATCTTAAAAGAGCATTTGAAACCGTTGATAGGGTCCGAATGTTGGATAAACTAAAATACATTGGTATAGAAAACTCTGAGCTTGACTGGTTTAGAAGCTTTCTATGTAATCGTAGGCAACAAACAATAGTTAATTCTAAGATGTCTAGTAAGATAGCCGTAGACATCGGATTACCACAGGGCTCAGTTTTGGCACCCCTACTCTTTAATATATATATAAACGATATTAAAAGTTCTCTCAAACATTGTAAAATAAAACTCTTTGCGGATGATGCCTTGTTAACGATCAGTGATAGGGAACTACCAAATGCGATTGTCAAAATGCAAGAAGATCTTAATTCTTTGTATCAATGGCTGTGTTCAAATAAACTCAAACTGAATGTGAAAAAGACTAACTTTATGATATTTTCCAGAGCGGCAAATGCTGACTCCATAAGCCGTGAATTAAAAATCAAAGATGAAAATATCGAAGAGGTGAAAATTGTCAAGTACCTAGGAATATACATAGACAACAAACTAAAGTTTGATGAGCACGTTGAGTATACAGTCAACAAGATTGCTAAAAAAATTGGCCTTATAAAGAGATCGTGTAAGTACTTGGGAAGAAGATATAAAACGTTGGTGTACAGGTCAATAGTAGAACCGCACTTTATATACTGCCCCACGATTTTCTTCCTAGCGGGGGACTCCCATGTAGATAAGCTGCAAAAAATGCAAAACCGAGCGATGAGATTCATCCTCAACAAACCGTATGACACACCAACAAGATGTATGCTTGAAACCTTGAATTGGTTAAGCGTGAAGCAACAAGTTTTTTACCACGCTATGAAATTTGTGTACAATATTAAAAAGGGCAACCTGCCGGATTACCTTAGCGATAATCTCCGATATATAAATGAGACGCATACATATTTGTTGAGAGAGAATAACAGCTTCAGGCTCCCGAAGTATAGAACAGAAGTGGACAAAAAAAATATTTTCTATAAAGGCTTAAAGTGCTTCAATGAATTACCAGAGGCTATAAAAAATTGTGATACTATCACTCTTTTCAAGCGGCTGCTATTTGACTATTGTAGAACGCAGCCTACAAGATAGTGATGTATCAACAATAGCGTGGATTGGAAACTAGGCCTTTCCAACCACCAAGATATCGAGACTAGGCGGATCGGAAACTCGGCCTTTCCGACTACCTAGACCCTTAGATAATAAACAATAAACGAGCGGATTGGGAACTAGGCCTTTCCAACCGTCAACCGTCACGACAGCGCGACTGGGTGGATCGGAAACTCGGCCTTTCTGACCACCCAGGAGATATCAATAAACGGAGTAACCCAAAAAGAATAGCGCGGATTGGAAACTCGGCCTTTCCAACCGTCTACATAACTTCCAGGAAATTGCATGCGTTTATATTGACATAAAATAATTGCAGTGATAAAGAAATAATGTTATTTAAAAATTTCTGTAGAGCATTTTGTATTTTGTATTTAATATTTAATATTTACATTTTAAATCTAAAATCTAGTTATAAGAATGTTAAATCTTTGTTGCAATATAAGTCTAACAGACTGTAAAAATAAATAAATAAAATACATATTTGCGCGTTTCCACACTTAATTTTATTGATATTTTAAAAGAATTCGCTCCGACACCAGTTGCTCTTCGTAGAAAATTTCCGACAAATACATACAAATTACAGCTACGTCGGATTCAGGCATATCAACGTTACGAATTTCGAAGATGGTCTCCGAATTTCGAAATTACGATACGGCAACGCGGATTACAGCATACCAATTTTAAGATTCGTATCAAAATCGAATCTACGACGGATTACAGCATAGGGGTGTATATTTTTTATCAGAAAAGGCTGTTGAATGGCGGGTTCTTGGTCAGGAACGCGATGGGTCAATGCTTACGGCTTGGATTTTCGAGGATTTGCATTCCAAAGTCCGAGAGTCGTGCATTGGCCATTTTAACGCAACTTCAAAAACTTTGCGCATACTACATCGTTTTGTTAAAACGTGTCGCGAAATAATACAGGCAACGATCAACAGTAGTGGTACCTTGTTGGTGTATGTTGAGAAAATAACATATTCTAAAGACAACGCGGAAGCTCGACCACATTATGAAGCCCACATTGTTGAAACATGTAATCCACAAGAGCGTGCGCGCGCTACATCTTTGTTGGATACGCCAACACGTCGACAAACAATGGCGCAGTTTTTATGGCGAACGGAAAAGTCGTCGGCGAAGCAATCAGGTCAAGAAAAATTTCTGTTGCTAATTCATAAGACTTGTGAGTTTAAATGAAATAAATTTAACTACTTACATACCCACAGCAATAACATTTTTTCCATAGCGATAATACAGTACGTTTGCACATTGAAACAAAGAAAAGCGAATAAAGAAATTCCCAATGATTTCACTGAATGTAACCATTTAGATAAATGGTATTTAGACATCAATATGCTTGTTTCCGAGACGATTGCTAAGAATTTTAATTGGGCTCAGTGGGATTCAGACAGCCAAGCATTATATTATATCCATCTGAAGCCAAAATCAAAAAGCTTGAGCCTCATGGAACGCGCGGAAACAGAAAAAAATAAGGAAAACGAATTAAGTCCCACCCTCTCAGCTTTTCAGTTCAACGATAAATTGCCTACTGAGACTGTAGTAAGTTTAAAAGATTTTAAATATCTTGTCATACCTATCTTGTCAGTTTTTTTTTTTTCGTTTTCTCAAGTTAAATATTCCGTTGAATCTTCCAAAATTACCCCAAGGCACTTTCGATTGTGAACCTGTTTATGAAGACGATTCGGTTCCACTTAGAGTTCATGATTCCTCACTTAATCTAATTATATTGACTAATGACTCCGGCATGCTGTTTGTATGCCACTATTATCTGTATCAACCTATAGAACCGAAAAATGTAGACGACACACCAGCAGATGGTGCTGGCCCTTCTCAGAAGGTTAATGTTCATTTCGCCTATTCAGTAACACTGCTTCATCATGGATGCGTAGTACATTGCGTTATGCCCGGTGTGCCATGGGAAAAGGCGCGTCTATTGAAGCCAACATTCGCGTTGCATGGTACCCATCATTTGCTTGTATTTCAGCCGGACTTATTTGTACATTTACTGGATGTGGGCTTGACCCACGAACCGTGTTGTCATATAGTCTGCCCTGCACATAATCGCAACCCACTAACTCAGCTGGTGCCATGTAAGAAATGGGGATCGATGGCGTACGATGCTGCAACTCTAGACTTGGTCTCACTGAGTGTCCCACGGGGCCACTTGATTGAAGCTTTTCGCAACGACACGTCCGTGGATAACCGTCTAAGTATTATTCATTATTTTCTTCTGCATTCCAATGATATGGATGTGTTGGTGGAATTGCTCAGCACCATAGTGGAAAGACCGCTGTCATTGGATACAGTGGCGTTACTCAAGGAAGTTTTAGTAGCAGGCAGTTATGGTTCTACGCTGCGTGGCCTGCCCGCCGATGCAACGCCGCTTTCAAGACTTCTACCACTAACAACAGCTGATCTCTCTCGTCCTATTCAGGCGAGGGTTGCTGACATCAGCGTAGGTCTGTCGCATGAAAGTCTGTACAATACGAATATGATGCTCTTATCTCCACATCAGCGTTTATCACCCTACAATTCAGATATTTGGACCCGCTTGTGGGACCATTTGAATGAAGCAGGCAAAAAGGAGAGACGTCGTTTTAATTCGGAACAGGTCAGTGAGAAACTTTTGTTTTCTCTCTCCTGTTATCAACCGGAAGCACTGTCACGTTGTACAACGCCTCTAACACCTGGTGGAGCCGGGGGCAATAACTTCAGTGATTTTTCTACGTCTAATATACGCAGCTACAACGAAATTTTACCATTTATTGAAATTGAGACGTGTACAGCTACAAAGCAAGAACATGTCGTATCAGTGGCAAGTATTTGCTGAAATTGTTAACATTTAATTGATATTACAAATATGTTTTCCCATTGATTGCAGAATATGCGTGAATTAATTGTACACTTGGTAAAACACTCAGCAAAATCCAATACTGGCTTTCGTTGGCTGAAAGAAAATTTTTTCGAGCGCTCTCAGGCCCCCAACCATGTACACACTGTTGCCACACAATATGTGAGCTCCCAGCTGGAATTGTCACGCGCGCTTTGCTCGCTCGTTTGCCGTGCGTCAGGTTTGGATGCGCGGAACGAGAAAACGCGGGGCTTTCAATTGATGTAAGCATGTTCTGCGAAGTTGACTGTGAAATACATTTAATTTTTTTAGCGACCATATGACCAATGGCCAACAGTATTCACTCTTCCTAATTCTGGAGCGTTATTGTTTGGCTGTAGACTCTATAGCTTTTCCATTGCCTCAGGGATTTGCTTCATTTTTTACTTATCTTGGCTATCGCGCCCTATCTTTTGAGATGTTTTTACAATATGTGGAGAATCATGTATTTGAATTGCAAGTTGATGTCATGAACACAATTATAAACGGTAATGACACATTTTAAGCAGATCTTATTTAATTAAATATCCAAAAATTTTAATTTCATTGTGTAATAGGTATCGATGATGCCGCAGATGGGGTGGAAAATAAGCTTTCTTTGCTATCTGCTCTTCCTAAATCTCGAGCCCAGCGTTTACTAAAGAATTGGTTGCATCCAGAGAGCCTAATAATACGCGGCCGGCAGCATGCAGCTAATATATTGTCTGGACAGCAAGTGCAACAGCGTGCCAGTAGCGCTGGTATAAACATCAACACACAGGGTCGCACATCTTTGAGAAGTGGTTAGTGGTTAATGCATTTGTAAATCATTGCCACAACTGCCATAAAATAATTAGTTACATAATTAGTGGCTGTCGTTATTTTTATTTATAATTTAACTCATTTTATTTTACTCATCCCTCTATTAGGCCTTAATATCGAAAAGGCAACATCTCTTTCATGTCTCAATTTGGTATTCGCAACAATTCTTGCTTTTATAATTACTTCTGGTTTATTGTTTTTTGGCTTCACGCATTTAAATCTCTAAATTAACAATATAAAACATTCACGGTAAGCAATAGTGTTTGTACTGAACTGTTTTGTAATATTTGACCCAGTAGTATTTATTTTTTCTTTTACAACGCTTTTTTGTGATACTCTTACGCAAACATCTTACTAGCAAGACATCGCTCCATTATTCCATTTTTATCTTGCAGGTATATCTTCCGATATGCTGTCGCCATTGGATTCATTTTTGGATCTTCTTACCGCCAAAGCCAGCCTCAATGAACTCGACTACAATTTGCTAATAGAAACCACCATCTCATCGATGGAAAGGCTTTAGGCTAAGGGATAAGCAGCGTGCTATGCGTTTATTACGAGAGGCATTCCACACTATTTTAATTGGTCAAAAACTACTTTTGCTCGATTTTCGGATATGTTGCCGAGGAGGTCCTATAGTATTTGTAAACGCAAAAAAAAAAAAACAATAATTTTTTTTCAAAAGTTATACAACAACCAAAATATTTGGTGTCTCGCCGTAAGTCATTGTTTATCACATCATAACTCGATAAATATTGGTTGTATCAAAAAAATCAATATGTACTTTTTTACTGAGTCAGAGATTTATAAAAAAAAATTTATTTTTTTATGCCCAATTTTGCATACATTTGTTATTGAACAATTTAGAAAGTTGCTCAAAAAGCTTGTTTGCTGGTTTTTAAAAATCTGCAAAAAATATATGAGCCCTTGATTTTGAAAGTGGTATAAGTCACTTCCCAGCTCTTGAACTTAAATGATCGGTTACTAGTATCTGAACGCGTCGGTTATTCGTTCAACTTCATCAACCATTGGTAGAAGGTTTTGTCATTAGTTTACGATGATAGAACGATTTGCAGATGTATTCGGTTACAAGTAACCGGTCATTTAAGCGCAAGAGCTGGGAAGTGACTTATACCACTTTCAAAATCAAGGGCTCATATGTGATAGAGTGTATATCAAAGACTTAACTGACAAATTTTTAAAGGGTGGCTCAATATAGGGTCTGAGATATTAATTGTTTCGTAAAGAAGTGACTGATGAAAAATTAAAAATAAAAATTTTCAATTAGTATTTGATCAAAATACGTCAAGTGGGCCACTTAAAAACCCTTTCTTTCGGATAACCAAGATAGTTATGTACTTTGGTAGAGGACCAGGTAATATTTGGTTTCCTATACTTTATTTTGCAATAATCCTCTTTGCGAAATATCGCGAATTTATCTCGCGAATACCCTGTAGGGAAACGAACTTGTGCGGAACTGGTTCGGTTCTAGTGCGTTTCGAACCATGACTACTACGCGTTAATTTTCTTTTGCATGCTAGCGACTGGCGAATTTAACATTGGGATGTCCTAGGAAGTGTCAATTGTCCCCCGTTGCATCCCTTTGGCTCTAGTTCCGAACCAGTTCTATATTCGACAGATAAGATCTAGCTCGTTTTGCATCGTTTTTTCTTTAGTTCCGAACCAGTTCCAAATTCGACAGATGAGATCTAGTTCGTTCTGCATCCACTTTTTTTTAGTTCCAAACAAGTTCCTAATTCGACAGATGATATCTAGTTCGATCTGCATCCATTTTTTATAGTTCCCAACCTGTTATAAATTCGTCACCTTAGATCTACATTTCTAATCATGCTTGTCGAAACATTTCCCTTTTATATTAAATACGATACGATCGGTTGAAGGAAGGACAATACCATCACAAATGTTTAAACGCATTTATTAAAAATTTATAAACCACATCAGTAGTAGAAGTAGTATTAAACTTTAGTATGTAAAAAACAAAAGTGCGTTCTGCTTAAAAGTAAAAATATTAGTTCACTTTGTCTTACTTGTCTAAATTTAAGCATATTGATTTTTAAGTAAATTCAGTTCCTTTTAAGCTTGTATGTATATAAAGTACTTCGAAAGTTTTTGTCGTACTTAACTGAAATAAGATATACAGTCAGCCAATAAAGTTTAGGTACAGCGAAGATTTTACAATACCGGCAACTATTTTTTAAATATTTTATTTTTCCATAATTTTTTATAAAAATATGGTTAATTCTACACCAAAAACCCCAAAAGTCAGAGTTCCAAACCTTATGCAAAATTAAGGAAAACTGCAAATTTCCATCCAAATATTGCAATTTACGCTCTTTAGAAAAAAGTTAAGTACGCAGGTTTTTGGCCCATTCAATTTTAGCATAACAAAGTGCAAGTTCGAGGTAGCTAGCACTTACCATTGATATTTAGCAATTTTTTCTTTTTTGTAGTTTGGTAAGTCCTAGCTTCCTCATACTTGCACTTCATTATACTAAAATTGAATGGGCTAAAAAACTGCAAACTCAACTTTTTTCTAGATAGCGGAAATAGAAAGTGAATTATTTTAATGAAATTTTGCAGAATTTTCTTAAATTTTGCACAAGGCTTGGAACTCTGATTTTTGGGGTTTTTGTTGTAGAGTTGACCATATTTTTATAAAAAATTACAGAAACCTAAAATATTTAAAAAATAGTTGCCCGTATTGTAAAAAATTCGTTGTACCTAAACTTTATTGACTGACTGTATTAAGGTAGCCGTGCTGGATTGCATAAAAGAAAGATTAATTTGTCTTTTCTTAAAAAAAAGGAGCTCTGGTTGCTTGCATTTTTAAATAAATTTAGTGAGAAAGTGGTAATTATTTTGACACTTTTTTTTTAAATGCCTCTTTTTCTGCAACTGCATTGCCTTTCTCAATTGTCCTTCAGGATTTTGGCCTTTGTTTGTCCTTTTGAGAGGTAGCCGCACCCTTATAAAAGGAATAAGACCCAAACATTTCAGGTCAAAATTTCAGTAGGTTGCGTCTGTATGGCATTTTCAATTTTATAAATTATCATTATTTTTAAGTGGAAAAATAAAACTCAAAATTAATGATAATATTTGCGCGAAAAAATTAAATCATAAAATAGCCATTATTTGTAATCCCAAAAATAAAAATCAAATAATAATTATTTCCCGTTGAGCGAAAAAATAAAAATCAATAATAATTCATAAAATAATGATTAAATGCTGATTTAAATTATTTTACTCATAATGATTGATGAAAATTTAAAATAAAATAGTTTAGTGAAAGTACCACATTTCAATGCTTTTGGACTGGTTCGAAACTAGTTACTATCAGACTGGTTCGTTTTTGGCAAAAAGAACTATTACTGAACTAGAAATCTGGTTCACTAGTTCGTGTTTACCCTACAGGGTATATCTCCTGAACGGGTAGAGATAACTTAATAATTTTGGTTTAAATAAAATAAATTAATGTTTTTTAAATTTTAATATTTTAATAGGCTTGTCCGATCTTGCTTCTTTTAGTGCAAATAAAACCCAGTTATTCCACTATTGTTGCCCAACGTTTCGCTAAACTCATTAGCATCTTCAGGGGCTGGTTGTTTATTTTCAAGAAATTTCTATTATAACATATTTAATTAAACTTAATTTTATTTCGGTACCATCTATTGTGGTAGTCTTGTCAATACTAATGAGTTTAGCGAAACGTTGGGCAACAATAGTGGAATAACTTGGTTTTATTTGCACTAAAAGAAGCAAGATCGGACAAGCCTATTAAAATATTAAAATTTAAAAAACATAAATACGAACCGATCGGAACCCAAAAATAAAATAAATTAATATTTGATCAAAATACGCCAAGTGGGCCACTTAAATACCTTTTCTTTCGGATAACCAAGATAGTTACGTACTTTGGTAGAGGTCCAAGTAATATTTGCTTCCCTATACTTTGTTTAGCAATAATCCTCTTACTTTGCGAAAAATTGCGAATTTAATATTAACATAATCATTTCTTTGATTGGTCATATCTCCTGAACGGGTAGATATACCTTAATAATTTTGGTTTAAAGAAAGCGGAAAACAAATTTTTAAATTTTAATGTCATGCTAACAAAATGCATCTTTGGTTTTTTTTTCTAAATAAAAAAATCTCGACGTGCTAGAAAAATCCAAAGATGTATTTTAATTTAACATGACATTAAAAATTACAAATTTAATAATTTGTGCTAAAAAGATGGAGTTTTCCGCTTTATTTAAACCAAAATGATTAAGTTATCTTCACCCGTTCAGGAAATATGACCCATCAAAGAAATGATTATGTTAATATTAAATTCGCGATTTTTCGATGTAAGAGGATTATTGCAAAATAAAGTATAGGGAAACAAATATTACCTGGACCTCTACCAAAGTACGTAACTATCTTGGTTATCCGAAAAAAGGTTTTTAAGTGGCCCACCTGACGTATTTTGATCAAGTTTTAATTGAAAATTTTGATTTTTTTAATTTTTTTTATTAGTCACTGCTTTACGAAACGATTAATATCTCAGGCCCTATATCGAGACACCCTTTAAAAATTTGTCAGATAAATCTTTGATATACACTCTATCACATAAATTTTTTGCAGATTTGTAAAAACCTTCAAACATGTTTTTTAGCAAATTTCTAAATTGTTCATTAACAAACGTATAATAAAGTGGACTTAAAAAAAAAGTTATAAATCTCTGACTCTTTGTTAATAAAAAAGTACTAATTGATTTTTTTGATACAACCAATATTTATCGCATTATGATGTGATAAACAATGGCTTTCGCCGAAACACCTATATTTCGATTGTTGTATATCTCTTGCAAATTTTATTTTTTTTACATTCCTCGCATTTTGAAATATCTTAGAGGTATTTCTACATTTTACTCAGTTTATATCAAAATCGAAAAAAATTATCATAATTTTCATTGAAATAGCTTGGAATGCCTCACCAGTAAATTTTAGTATTATAATTTCAGCAGCTGAATACGAGGCTTACTTAGATTTATTTATTTATTGTGTTTCTCTGCCGTGCAAGTATTTAATAAAGTACATATCGTCGCTTAGCGCGCGATACCTCGTATACACCAAATGCAATACCACGTATACGATAGTCCGAAAATTTCACAAAAGTGCAAATAAACTTTTCTTTTAAGCTTTTGAATGGTTTCTAACTGAACTTATTAAATATGACCTTCTACTAAAATTATTCATCATTAAATTTGTGAAGTATGCGAGACGGTACCGAAAAAATATATATTTTTTCTCAACCCCCTCATTCGTGGTGTTGCATTTGTCGGATGTGAGGTATTGGGCGCCAAGCGGCGATATGCTGTATATAAATATCTACGAACAAGATCATTGCGATTTTTTCTAGTTTATTTTAAATATATGTGTATTGATAGAACTCTTCATCTTCCAAAATGGTTGTTGTTGTTGTTGTTGTAGCGGCTACAACAACCCCGCCCAGATCGGTTGGTATCTCAGTCGTTGTCGTCAAGTTCCACTAACGGCAACCCTAGGAAGCGTGCAGCTTCTGTGGGATCTGTCCACAGGGACAGGGCCGTTAGGGTTGTCGGGTTTTCCGGGCATGCGAAGAGATGGTTCGAGTCATGTGGGGTCTCTCCGCATGCCGGACATT